GTTGTCTGGTGTCCCGTGCTTACTCGGCATCATTTTTCGCCATGCTTTGATGGTGGGGCTCCAATATGTGTTGGCTGTGTGGGTGGTGACTGTGGTGGGGATCGCTAGGTTGTGCTGTGCCAGGTTTCTCCTGCGTGTTCTGCCTGGTTTGATTGTCCAGTCCTTTGCCATTAGCCAGAATAGGCCGTTCATGTTAGCTGGGGAGTTGATGGGAGCTAGATTTCTTATGCTGTCTAGCGCCATTTGGGTCCAAGGAAGGTGTTGTTTGGTGGGAATCTTGATTATCCATTTTATCTGCAGCGCTATGGATTCTTGTTTCGGGTCAATTACGCCGAATCCCCCTTCGTGCGGTTTCCTAGTGATGTGGTTCCATGCAACCCTGTTGATGCAAGTGGTCCTGTTGGGATCGCCTGTCCACAGGTAGCATCTCACCCTGTTCTTCAGCTCCTTAAGGTCGTCGTCGGGGGGGGACCAGATCGATGCCATGTACCATAGCGTAGAGAATATTGCTGTGTTGACGAGCAGTGCGCGTCATGGGTGTGGTTGTTGCATCTCACACCTTCCTTGTTGACCATAATGCCCAGGAATCGTAGTGCTTGCTCACCCGTGGTCCACGTCATGGGTGTGGTTGTGTCTATTGGTTGGGGGGGGGTATCGTCGGACAACCACCATCCTTCGGTTTTATTCCAGTTCACCCTCATTTCTGATGCTAGTCTGAAGGCTTCCATTGCCCGTACCAGCGCTTGGAAGGAGCTGTTATTTGCTCTAATTAGTACCGTAAGTTCGTCGGCGAACATAAGTGCAGTGGGTAAGGCGAAGTCGTGCAAGGGGTTGAAGTTCCGTTCAGTGAGGCGGTCGATGGATGGATCTTTGCGGAGGAAGGAAGCTATGGCTTCCATGATAAATAGGAATATGGGAGGGGAGCTAGAGGGTCGCCTTGTCTGACCGAGCGTGAGATTGGGTAGGTTTCTGATAAAATCTTGTTGAGCTGGACTCTTCCTGTAGCGTCTGCGTATAGCACTCTCACCCAACTTCTGAAGTTTGGGCCTACGCCCATTTTTTCCATGCATGCATGAAGAAAGTCCTAGTTGACTTGGTCATAGGCTTTCTCGAAGTCAAAAAACAGGGTCGTGGCTTTCATTCGTTTTTCCGTGATCTTTTTTGTTGCCTCGTTCAGGGTCATGACATTGTCCAATATGTACCGGCCAGGGATAAAGCCCGCTTGGTCGATGTGAAAGCAGTTGTCCGTTAGTTTAGTGATTCTGTTTGCAAGCGCTTTGGCTAGGATTTTGTATGGCGTGGTTAGTAGGGAGATCGGTCTGTAGTTCTTCAGGTCCTCTTTGTCACCCTTCTTGTACAGCAGCGAAACCACGCTGGTACTCAGTTCCTTACCTAGGCCTCCTTTGCGCTGGCTTTCATTGAGAAAGTCTAGAAGATCCTCACCAAGAGTCGGCCAGAAGCAGCTCCAGAATTCCTTGGAGAGGCCATCGATGCCTGGGGCTTTATCGTATCCCATCTGATTCAGAGTTGTGTGCAGTTCGGCCAGGGACAGTGGCTTGTCCAGGCCTTCCGACTGACTCAACGAGATAGTTCTGTCGAGATATGACATCATCAGTTGGCGGGCTGTTTGGTTCGCTGGAGTTGGGGGTGAGGGGGTTTTGGACTTGTATAGATCTGCGTAAAAGGCTCTTGCAATCCCTACCATCTCAGGGCCTGCTGTTTTCCGGTACCCTGCGTCTAACGGGTCTTTGAGTGCCTCTATCATGTTGTTCCCAGCGTTCGTCTTGATTTTGGAAAAAAAGAACTTTGTCATTGACTCGTTCAGGGCGTAGTCTGTCATCCTTGCCCGTATTTGCAGCCCTCTGAGTTCCCATCTTCTCCAGTCGTTCAGTTCGTCTTTGGTGTCATCCAGTAATTGTTGGTAAAAACTGCTGTTGGGGTCCTCCGCCAGATTTTCTTCGGCGACGGCCATTGCGAATTCGAGTTCCTCCCCTCTGTTTTTGCGGTCTCTAGCAATCGCTTTGGATTCCGCTGAGGTTATCCGTGTCAGTTCTGAGTAGCTGTCAATGAACCACTGATGGCTGTTTGTCTTCCTTGATTCTCGTTGTTTGTTGAGGGCCCAGTTCTCTTGGACTGTCTCCGTCATTCGTTCGGTTTTTAACAGCCAGTTGTTTAGTTCGAAGAAGCCTTGTCCTGTTTGGACTGGCATGTTGAAGTTTAGCAGCATCTGGATGGGCTTGTGATCTAGTCCTTTGAAGGCAGCTGATGGGAGGATTTCGGCCTCTTTGACTGTCCCGAGTAAGCTCTCAGAAATGAGGAAGAAGTCGATCCTGGATAGTGACGTCCGGTTGGCTTGGTTCTTCCTTATTTGGGAAAAGACTTTCTTATCCGGGTGCAGTGCCCTGAGGGGGTCGCAGAGTTCGAATTCGGTCATCAGGTTTCGAATCGGGGTGCCCGCTCTTGTGGGTCCCATTTGTACCGTTCTTGATATCCGGTCCATGTTAGGGTCCAGGGTCGTGTTCCAGTCCCCTGCGATGATTACTGGCTGTGGGATGGGGATGGGGGGTTTGATATTCTCAACGAAGATCAGTCTGTTGGATTCAGTGTTGGGTGCGTACAGGTTGAGGATGCGCAGATCGTCGCCTTGCCACTTGATGTCCACCCACAACCACCTCCCTTCCTCTCTATCCCCCTCGCTGTTAAGGATCTGTCCTTCGGTCAGGATTTTGGACGTTTTTGGGATCAGTATCGCTGTCCCTCTACTGCTTTGGCCGTCTCTGTTGGACCAAATTGTGACTGCACAACCCCCTACCGCTCTCTCCATCCTCTGCTGTATCTTCGGGTGGTTGTTCAGGTTGGATAGATGTGTCTCTTGGAGGAGTACAAGGTCTGGTTTGGGGATGTCCTTCCCCACCAGGCCTGTCCGGATGTCTCTGAGTTTGTCTTCGTCGGTCAGAATGTTTCCAAGGCCATTGATGTTCCAGCTGATTATCTGAAGTCCCTTAGCGTACCAGTTTACTTTGGTTTGGCTAGCTTGCCCGTTTCTGATTGGTTTAAAGTTTAAACCCACCACAAAACAACCTTCGAAGGTCTGAGAGAAGACTGCTTGTCCAGAACAGGTCTGCAGGGTCTGGGAATTGGTCGAAATGACTCTCAGATGTCATTAGAACGCGGTTCAGTCCACGTCGTGTTGGGGATGGACTGGGGTCCAGTAGAACGCCTGCAGATTAGCGTTGGGACTGATCCAGAAGCGAGGCTAAGCAAGCATGGGAGCAAGTCTTTGGGTTGAGGTCAGAAGCCGAGATCCTGGGGCCAAAGTCACAATTGTTGGGTCAAAAGTTGCTCTGCTAGGAATGTACCCGAGAAGGCCCTTAGGTGTCGGTAGGACTGGGGTCTGGAAAATGAGTAGACAAGTCAAAGTGAAAACAGTTCACAGAGTCAACGACAGCTGGAGATCACACACAAACGAAAGCAGCAGCAACAGTTTGCTGAAGCTCGAGTGGTAGCCATAGCCAGGAAGGACGTGGTGATGCACCATAGCGAATGAGAGGAGAGAGATGAGGTAGAGTCAAAGAGAATGTTCACCTGGAGAGTGCGTACCTGGAGATTGTTCAGCCATAGGCGGCAGAAGTGGGGAGCAGGTGGAGGAGGAGGTAGAAGGAAGAGGAGACCAGTGGTTGGTTGCCTGTGCTTGTCATTCTCAATCCAAGATTTCTTTTCCTGGAAAGATCAGCAGCAAATCTACGCCCCTAGCTGTTTACGAAACTTTTGGTGCGCAAGTCTGCGCGTGAAAATTGCCGGAGTTAGTGCACTTAAAAATCTCCTCACTGCCACCGATCCCCTACAGCCGGTAGGCCAACATCCCCCCCCCCCCCCTCTTTCTCTTGGGATCCGGATTTAGAGAGAGATTGGCTTGGAGAGTGACATTGTGTCTAGTTTGGCAGTGATGGAGCGAGGAGGAGGAAGAGGGTAGACAGGAGAGTGAGAGGAGAGGAGTAATCGTGAGGAAGGAGGGTGGAACCAACTTTAACATTGCACTGCTTGTTTATGTCTGTTTGTTGATTTGAGCCTCATCCCTCCTGGGAGTTGATGATTGTGACCATCTGAACTTGTGAAGTTTGCTTCCGTTACACCCTGGATGTATTGGAGAAGAGTTTCTGAGCCTTTGGATTTGTGTTTGACTATCTGGGGAGATGTTTGACTTTTGATCTGGTGCTGTTAGGGTAGCATTGTGGCCGTGGTTGACTTGCTGGGGAGATGTTTGACTTTTAATCTGCTGCTAGGGTAGGACCATTGGATTTGTCAGTGATCTGCGGCCGGGCTGGACCTTCTCTGGAGAGGTCTTTGAGACGGGTGGAACCAACTTTAACATTGCATTGCTTGTTTATGCCTGTTTGTTGATTTGAGCCTCATCCCTCTTGGGAGTTAGTGATTGTGACCATCTGAACTTGTGAAGTTGCTTTCGTTACACCCTGGATGTATCGGAGAAGAGTTCCTGAGCCTTTGGATTTGTGTTTGACTCTCTGTGGAGATGTTTGACTTTTGATCTGCTGCTGTTAGGGTAGCATTGTGGCCGTGGTTGACTCGCTGGGGAGATGTTTGACTTTTAATCTGCTGCTAGGGTAGGACCATTGGATTTGTCAGTGATCTGCGGCCGGGCTGGCCTTCTCTGGAGAGGTCTTTGAGTTTATTGGGAAGTCAGTGGGGACTGAGTTGACTTGACTTCATCAGTCAGTCCTGGTACGCTGCGCCCAAAGACCATTGACCCCAGCAGTCCTGGATGTGCTGCTATGGCCCTACAGGACGACCTTCTACTCATAGAACTTTGACTAGGCCAAAGGCTGGTTATGACCCAAAGACTGTTGCGCTGCTGGTTTTGGCCGTGGATCTATACTGCAGAGTGAAATAGTCCACCTCTCTCTCTCCTAGTCTATATATTCTCTCTCTTATCAAGTGGAATTCGCCTACTGGCAAAACGATTAAATACTGAGAAGCCGTGCCAATGCAGGAGCCTGGAGGAGCAAACATCTCCAAATGATGACTGTTGTAGAAATGTCAGGTACGTGGTCATGGCCTCTTCTCTCTTTCTCTCTAGTCCTCTCTTTATGGATTCAGCTGGCCTCCAGCCAAGATAGTCCCTCTTCCATTATATAGACTTTATCTGTCAGTCTGGCAGGTAAGAACACTGCAATAAGGCAAGAAACCTGCAATAGATTGTGAATGACCATACAAATTTCCTTTTCAATTGCATTCATTCATGTTGTTAAGTGCATGCGGAGCAATGGATTGCAGCAAAAGCAGAAGAGTATGTAAGGATATGATTACACTAAGTAAACACTTGCACAAAGTGCCACAAACTTGTTTACGTCGTTCCTCCGTTTTCTCGTTGTCTATCCACCGCCGAATCCAAACCCCACTCTGAGCTCCCCCAAGTCCTCAAAAACCATTATTTGCAATTTGAAACGCTTGCAGAGATTCCTACTTCTTGCTATTTTGTCCACCTTCTCATCGAACCCCCACTCTGGACTCCCCACCATCAAGATTCAGAAGTCAGTATTTGACAAACTATGGAGAATCTCTACATGCAAGCACTGCAAGTTGAAAGCCGTCAGTGAGAAACCCTCGGCGAACTCTACAACGAGCTGAAGTGCGCGTCTCGTGTCGCTCTTGCATCCCCTCGCCTTAACCCTTCCAAAGGACTTTCTGATGACTCCTCAGGCTCCCAGTGCTGTCCCACTTTAGCCTGTATAAAATAGAGTCTATAGGCCAACTTGGCGCTTGCTCGAGGGGCAGAATATAGAAATGTCCTTTGGGCCCTTTGGGGTCTTTTGGGGTCCTAAGGGACATCAGTTAAAAAGGGATCAATAGAGAGAAGATGAGCATGGCCCTTGCGAAAGGATGGCACACATAAATCTAAAAATGTTCCAAATTAAAAAGAAAATTAAGAACTAAAAAGAAATGTTGTTTAATGTACTATGGGGTTAGTATGGGATCAATAGTATGGAATGTCCTTTGCGACATCCATTAAAATTGGAATGAGGATGGCCCCTGAGAAAGGATGACACGCATAAATCGAGAAATTGTTAAGAGAACTAGAACCATACAGCGAGGATTAGCATGTCCATGTCCCCTGCACTTAAATTGGGGATTGATAAGACCGAGGTAGAGCGTACTCCAGTGTCCTCCCAATTTAGCTAGGTCTTGTTTCTCAACGTTTGCTAGGCCACTACTGACACGCATGAAGCATAAATTCTACTGGTCCTCATCAGCTAAGTCATCGTTGCCCAAAATCTAGTGTCACCTCACGCATTTAGCATAGACTTCAATGGGCTGGCAGCCTGCACTCCCAAGCTGTCTTAATAATGACTATGGAGAACGCAAAGGTATTATTTCCATTTGTTTGGGTTGTAGGCCCTGGCTGGATGGTACTTGTTTATTCTCGATGGGTCTCGTACACTTAGGCCTGTTTTGGAGAGGCCAAGATTTGCCTAACATAATTATTTGGGCCTCTCTTCATGACCCGAATAGGACCAAAACTGAGCAATGTGAGTGATTACCAGTTGTGGCCTAGCAGCAGTTGGCCTAGCAGCAGTTGTCTTCATCTTGGTGTCTGGGCTACAGGATTGCTACTTCTTGTAGACAGATTCTGACGTGGACGAAAACGTCGGAAATTAGAATCATATTTGCGTTGCATTTGAGTCGGATCATACGATAACTCGTCGTTTAGAATCGAGGATACAGTTCTGTTTTCGTAATGTCTGGTTATGTTCTCAGCAATTGTTTCCCCGTCAGGTGTTGGATAATCAAGGCAGAATTGACGGATGTTTTTTCCAGACTCTTGTAAAATACGGTCAAGATTGAATAACACTAAGGATTGCAAGAGCAGCATTGGTTGTATCTGCCATGGATTCTTGTGGAGTGCCAGTCTAGTCGCTTATCACTGGCGTGCATATGATGAGAGATGTTCATGACATCAATGTGCATAGCACAGTTTGAACCATAGGTTAACATATTTGTTGACGTCAAAACTACTCAGATGGAGATTTGACTGACAAGGAAAAGTCCATAAAGCGGAGGGGGAGGCATCCCTGGTAGTGTTGTATGTGGTCTCCAAGCACCATAGCTTCAATAGGGAGAATTCGAATCTCGTACTTCAATGCATAGTGCAGTGCACGATAAACTATGTAGGGTGACCCTCCTCCATACCTGTTTGCTAAACATTCGAAACATAAGGAAACAGAGGCTCCACATTGGAAACATACCAAACAGGCAGTGCAGAAGATGGCCGTTGGAAACAAATCTCAGCACCGCAAGGATCATTAAAATCTGCAGGCAATCAATAAAGAGGGGGGGGGAAGGGGAAGAAGAGACGGTAATGATGCTGTCACTTGATGCCAATGTCTGCACTGTTTTGTTTTTGTTTTTCAATGTCTGCCCATTTGGCACTGCTGGATTTGTCAGAAAAATGTTTTCGAAGAATCTTTTATCCCTAGTGTCACAAGCATGTTTATTCCATTGAAATGCTGAACGGTTGGCTATATTGATTTGTTTTTCCTTTGTGCAATGCTTTTGGTGGTTGCTTGCTGTTGCAGTCTGGCGGCACTTCTTGCGCTTGAACTTCGGGCAGATTTGATGATTCTTCTCAGCGATGTAAGTAATACTAGAAACTTCTTTTTGTTGCTGGATGTAGAGAGCCCCAAATAAGGGGAACACTTTATTCCTTCCTTGTAAGGTGAAGCGTCTACCACTATTTGGTTCTCTCTTTATATGCCCCCAATAGGGTTCATCATTTAGGCCTCTGCACATCACCCAGGTATGACGCCCATTATGTGGGCCTATCTACACCCCCGAAATGGATGGCCACCACTATTTGCGGCGCTCCTCAACCCATGAATAAGAAAGGTGCACCAGCTTCTTAGTTGCCAAGTTTAGCCTGGGGAGTTGGGAGTTGGCCAATATATTACGAGACCTTTCTATTTAGAGGACTGCACACACACACACACACACACACACACACAGAGAGAGAGAGAGAGAGAGAGAGAGAGAAGACCGGCGTAGAATGATACATTGTGGCCCTTCTCTCTGAGAGAGAGAGA